CTGCTGTGCTTTTCATGCCCCTTCTTTGGTGCCCATGGTCAGAATTCTGTGCAGCCCGCTGCCTGGCCATGTTGCCTTTGAGATGCATGGATAATAATCTGGCTCTTACCTGTCATCCTTTCTCCCAATCCTCAGAAGCTAAGTATTAACCAACACTAAGCTGCTGCTTAATGGAGAAAGAGGGACAGAGGAGCAATGCTGAAATGCGTTTCTTTAGAGCAGGGTTTCTCAGCCTCAGTGCTGTTGACATTTTGGGCCAGATAATTCTTCGTTGTGGGTGCTGTCTTAGGTATTGTAGGATGTTTAGCAACATCCCTGACCTCTACCTACTAGATGCCAGTAGCGCTCCCCCTCCCAAGTTGTGACAGCCAAAAATGTCCCCAGACGTGGCCAAATGTCCCCTGGGGTGGGGCACAGTTGCCCCGGTTGAGAACCTCTGCTTTAGAGAAATGGGCAACAGAGTGCGTTGCTCTGAATTACCCACTTATAGTCTTTTCACTTTCAATTATCTCAGTGCTAGGTACCAGTAACATAACAGTGGTCCCTTTAGAGCAGAAGGGGTTTTATCTCTTGGTGGTAGCCCCCCAATTCTCTACCCTCCCTCTACTACTCCTACGAACCTATTCAAGAAAACACTGAGAGTGATGCCCTGGGCAGCTGACCTTGCTAAGGCACCAGGCCATGATCACGTCACAGTCAGCCTCCCAAAGGAAGTGCATCAGTGACTCTCCACTAACCTGCCCCTCCGATTCCTGGATCTCGGGAGTGGAATGGTGGGTGGGCAGAACAGGCATTTTCTCAGCCCATGGCATTTTGAAATATTTGGGTTTTTATTACATTTGTCGATTTTTCTGATTTTAACTTTAAAAAAAGTTAAACATAAGGAAGAAAATAAAGTCATTTATAAAGATCCAATATAACAGTGGACAGATAGTAGAGTTGGCTGACTACCCAGTTTCCTTCTTGATCCAATAAAACAGTGGACAGATAGCAGAGTTGGCTGACTACCCAGTTTCCTTCTTAAAAACTGGAGGATCCTGGATCCATGGGCTCCTGTTTCTGCAGAGTAGCGTCAGCTGGAGCTACCCTTTCCGGCGCCTGTGCTCTGGAGTCTTCCCAGCCATGCTCCTCCCTGCTCTCTCCTGATGAGCACCCTCACAGCTGCCATGCCCTTGCCACTTTCAACAGTTACTTTTTCTTATATCTGATTCCCGTTGACTGTGGAATTGGACCGTCTAGGTTTGAATCCTGGCATTTTAGTTATCTAGTGCTGCTATAACAGAAATCCCACAAGTGGATGGCTTTAACAAATTTATTCTCTCACAGTTTAGGAGGCTAGAAGTCCAAATTCTGGGTGCCAGCTCGAGGGGAAGGCTCTCTCTGTTGGCTGCGGGAGAAAGTCTTTGACATCAATCTTCCCTGGTTTAGGAGCTTCTCAGTGCAGGGACCCCTGCTCCAAAGGACACACTCTGCTCCTGGCTCTTCTTTCTTTCTTTTTTTAATCAATTCATGTGCCTTTTTATTATTGTAGTTTAGATGAAGGTTTACAGAACAGATTAGCTTCTCATTAAACAGTTAGTACACGTACTGTTTTATGACATTGATTAACAACCCCATGACATGTCAACAGTCTCCCTTCTCTACCTTGAGTTCCCTATTACCAGCTTTCCTGTCCCCTCCTGCTTTCTAGTCCTTGCCCCTGGCTGGTGTACCCCTTTAGTCTCGTTTTGTTTTATGGGCCTGTCTAATCTTTGGCTAAAGGGTGAACCTCAGGAGTGACTTCATTACTGAGTTAAAAGAGTATCCAGGGGCCATACTCTCAGGGTTTCTGCAGTCTCTGTCAGGCCAGTAAGTCTGATATTTTTTGTGAGTTAGAATTTTTTCTACATTTTTCTCCAGCTCTGTCCGGGACCCTCTGTTGTGATCCTAGTCAGAGCAGTCAGTGGTAGTAGCCAGGCACCATCTAGTTGTACTGGACTCAGTCTGGTGGAGACTGTGGTGGTTGTGGTCCATTAGTCCTTTGGACTAATCTTTCCCTTGCTCCCGACGGGGCGAGACCAGTGGAGTGTCTTAGATGGCGACTGACAAGCTTGGCTCTTCTTTCTTGGTGGTCTGAGGTCCCTCTCCTCTGCTCGATTCTCTCTTGTGGATCTCAGAATATACAACCTAATCCTGTAAATTGTGTCCTGCCTCATTTAACATAACTGCCTCTAATCCTGCCTCATTAACATCGTAGAGGTTAGGATTTATATCACATAGGATAATCACATCAGATCACAAAATGGTGGACAACCACATAATACTGGGAATCATGGCCTAGCCAAGTTGACACACATTTTTGGGGGACACAAGTCATTCTGTAACACCTGGCCTCACCTGTTCCTAACCTTGCTATCTTAAGCTGGTCCTTCACCTCTCTGTGCCGCGCTGTTTACTCAGCCGCACAAGAGAAGTGGTAGGAGCTGCCTTGTGGAGCAATGCAGAGATTAGATGAGATGGTGCCTGTAAGGTAGCACAGTGCCTGGCACATGGAAGGTGCTCAGTATGCAGCTGTGCCCTGGAATGTACCAGCCCCTGATATATCACCTTCTGGGTGTACATGTTTATATGTTTTACTTGCAGCTCCCCCATAGAGTCATGCAAACGGGTTCCTCATTTTCATGGCTGTCTAGTAATTTGCTGAATTAATGGGCCATTATTTATGTACATAGTGACCCACAGTTGGACGTTTAGACTGTTTTTACATTTTTGTTGTTAAAAAACGTTACGTTTATTTTTGCCCGTGATTTGTACGTGATATTCTTAGCTTTATTGCTTCTCAGACTTTAAAACCAAATCTATCTTTTTATGCAGATAACACGTGCCTTCTATTTTTGTTCGCCAACGGAGCCCTCTCCGCTGCGAGGTATTTTTGTAAGCACACTATGCTACTTTTTGGTAGGGGTGCTTACGAAAATACCTCGTGGGGGCTGGGCACAGTTGGCAGACAGACGTAGAAGGTGTGCGTTATTTGTGTAAAAATATAGTGTACCTCTAACCACAGTGTGAAGAAACGGCCTAAAACAACTTATCAGCACAAAATTTATTTAAATACTTCCATTTTGTGCTAAAAAACAATGAGTTGAATTATACTGCTCTTTTCCTCAAATACCGGTTCCCCCAAGTATCACTTTACGTGGATGCTTCAGGAAAGCGCCCCGTGTTTATCCTGTGTAGCCTGGGATTCAGTGCCTCTGGCTTGAGGAGTCGTTCTTTTAAAAGAAATCTCTGAAAGTGGAATTGCTGGCTCAAATGATATACTTATTTTATGGCTTTTGATAGGATATGTGACTTCTTGATGCCGTAGTTTTATGACTACTAATTTTCTCCGAAAAGGTAAAATTCTGCTCAGCTTGTCCTGAATTTGTATTTCAAGATGTTTAAGAAGTAATATGCTACAGTAGTAACAACAACGATGATGGTGATGACGGCCACAGTATTTGTGTTAGCTTGCCCATCCGATAGGTTTGCCCAGAGATTCACAGGACTTAGTGAAGTGACAGGCTGTGTAAAGTCAGCTTCACATTGGTTGGAGCCAAGACTGACCTTGGAAAGCAATCAGAGTAGGGGGAATAGGCCCGGCCCATTTTGGTGTCTGGTCACGGGAGACATGGATTGACATCTCAGGGGTTGGGTGCCTGCTCCCAGTCTTGGTGCAGTCCTCTGGCCTGGGAGGAGGTCACACGTGACACCGTCCTTTCATTGTGCCATGGAGGAGCCATTTTCAAGTAGTTCTCTTTGGGAAGCCACCTGAAAGGATTTCTGCCTTTTAAATACCCCACATGTATTATCATCTTTTTTTTTTTTTTAATCATTCCATTTTAAGAGTCTTATTCTCTATAGAAAACTAAAACCTAACCCATTGCTATGAAGTCAGTTCCAACTCATAGTGACCCTGTAAGACAGAGTAGAACTGCCCCATAGGGTTCCCAGAGCTGTAATCTTTATGGAAGCAGATGCCACATCTTTCTCCCATGGAGAAGCTGGTGGATTCAAACCACTGATTTCAGTTAGTAGCCAAGTGCTTAACCAGACTTGATGGCAACAAGTTTTTTGGTTTTTCTTCTCTATAGCAGCAGATGCGTCTTTCTCTGTTGGCAAAATAGAGAACAAAGAGTGGAGGTAGCATTGTTTTCCTAGGAGATTATATGAGTAGTAATAACCGATGTTCATCGAGGGCTCCGAGGTACAAACCACTTTTCCATTCCTCTTAGTGGACCTCGCAGCAGCCCTGTGTAGTGGCTGACCCACCTTAGGAAGCGTGCAACCAGGATCTAAAGGAACTCAGGTGGATAATGTGACCTGTGTGTGCCAGGCTTTTGTCAGTAGACAAGAAGGATGGCAGGTTGAGATTTGTAACCAAATGAAGTGGAGGCTTCAGAAGCTTTGGCACTGGCAAGAATGAGCAGGCCAGCATAACCCTGTCCCATGATGAGTCTCTAGTCTGCTGATCCCTAAGAAACTCCTGTAGGGGTCTTGCTGGAGTGCTGGAGCCAAACATCTTGCATAGAGGATATGGAAATGCTGCTGTCCTCGTGGAGCTGCTGGGGGGCTATCCACCATCCCACCATCCTGATAGCTGCTTGTTGCCTCTTTCCTATTACCCATTGCCATCAAGTTGATTTCGACTCACAGCAACATAATAGGACAGAGTAGAACTGCCCCATAGGGTTATCTTTATGGAAGCAGACTGCCACATCTTTTTACCGCAGAGCAACTGGTGGGTTCAAACCACCGACCTTTTGGTTAGCAGGTGAGCACTTAACCACTGCGCCACCAGGGCTCCCTTTTTGCTATTACCTCTCTCAAATCCCATAAGTATCTCTGCCTCTCCTTTTCATGCTCCCTATCCTGCATCCCAAAAAATGCCACCCAAAGGGGGTATAGGAAGTTCTCTGGATAAAAGCTGCTGCCAGAATTTAACTTCTAATGAGAGTGTCCATGTGCCTCTTTACCAACAGAAAACTTGGAATATAATGTGGAACCTCAAGAAATCTCGCACCCTGATGTCGGACGCTATTTCTCAGAGTTTACTGGCACACACTACATCCCGAACGCAGAGCTAGAAGTTCGATATCCAGAGGATCTGGAGTTTGTCTATGAGACGGTGCAGAATATTTACAGTGCAAAGAAAGAGAACATAGAGTAAAGTCTAGTAGAGGGCATTGCACCTTTGCTGCTGCTGCTGTCTTCCAGGAGAACAGGATTCCGGAAGAAGATGGCTCCACGGACCCCTCTGGTTTCACTCCGCCAGGAAAGCCACTTCACCAGTCGTGCTGGTGCCTCCTAGTTTAAATAACGTGTGCTCTCTGTCAGCTGCAAAGACAATGTTGCTCTCCGCCTACACTAGTGAATTAACTTGAAAGGCACTGTGTTCAGTGGCATGGCTTGTATGCTTGTCCTGTGGTGACAGCTTGTGACATTCTGTCTTCATGAGGTCCCACAATCGACACTCCTGTATTCGTTCTTTTTCATCACTTCCTTGTGTCTGTCTACACATGTCTGAGATCATCTCATCTGATGGAGAGGTGGGGTTATACATTTGCAATATTTTTTTCTGATTTCTATACGGAACATGTGCAATTCTAAGTCAGGACTGTTTGTCTTTTTACGCAGAACTTAGTCGTATGTTCAGAGGTAAAGTTGTACGCATTCTTGCCAGCGTCTTAGAGACATTAACAAGCTTAATGGGAATTAGAATCATTTAAATTTATTTTTTCTAAGTTTGTAACACCGATTTCGGTGTTTGTCTTTCTCTTTATTTGAATTGAGAGGATATGTTTTCCCTTCCATATGCCTCTACTGATCATTAGTTTTCTATTTTATGATATAACATTCTTCGAGAAAACATAATAATGGCCGTTGTGAATGAAATTTTCCACATTCACTCAGTATTCCTCTTTAAAATGACTACTTTTCTTTTAGTTTAAAAAATGCACTCTATATTACAAGTGGGTCTTAAATCGATGATTGTTTTCTATTTGTAGTGTAGAAGTACAAATCTGATCAAAAATCTTAGAAATCATATTCTGTGGTCCCGAAGACCTAAAACTGAGGTTTTGCTTTTGTAATCAAAAAAAGAGAAGAAACAATGAACATTAAACATTTTTAAACATTACAAAGAGTGGGGGAGGGGAGAGCTCCCACACTCCTTGTCATTCCTTAGCGTCACTCCAAGAATCTTTTTGAATGTGACGGGGTAGAAGTAAATTTAGAAGTCTTTCATTTGGAGAGTGTTTGTTGGCAGGAGAGGAGATGTGGGTGTCATCTGCCTTCTCCGTCACCCGTGCCAGGGCGGCACCAGGACAAAGACTGTCGTGAAGTCCCACAGAGAGAATCTGGCTTTGTGTTCAGAGACCAGTGGCTTCTTTCCGATGTCCTCAGTAACCGAATGTGAAGGTACCAAGTCTTCACAGCTCTGAGACTCCCACCGCTCCACCCGCCAGCTCTCAAGCGAGCTAATATTGTAATTAACCGGTAGAAACTAACCTCTGGCGTTAGGACCTAGTCCCTTTGCGCTCTCAGTTCTAGTGGATGAGGCTCGGGGGCCGGGGCTCCCTGCCTGTCTCTCCGTTTGCATGCAGCGTTTTCCCAACATGTTCAATGACTGCTCCTTGTTTACCCTTCGGAAACCCCGGGATGACCGAAGTTTGGGAAGCCACCAGAGACCACTGACTAGCAGGTGGAGGAAGGCCACAGCAGTCCTATTAGAAAGAGACGGGGTTTGAGCAGCTGGCTCCTTCCAGCCCAAATCAGCTAGTGTCCAATGTCCATGTTTCTTATGCGTCAAATCCAAAGCCTGGTCCTTTGGACTTACGTGTGAAAACGTGACCACTCACCACACCCAGCCTTCCTGCGGCTGCAGGGGGAATCTTAAACACTCCCTCATTTAAAGGTGAAAGTAGATTATGTGGAGTTAATATTCATGAGATCCATTACCAAGAAACTGGAGCATGCCGAGAGTTAATCATTGTTGATTTTCTGGTTCACTTTCCTTTATTCATAGAGTAACATCACAGCCGAGAAAGATAGTCTTACCTTTACTGACTCCGTTGTAAATATGTATTTAGACGGTTTTTAAATGTGTTTCCTCACGAATGCTTCATTTGGCTCCCGGAAGCCTGTATCACCTGTGTAAGTTGGTATTTGGGCACTTTATATTTTTCTAAAAACGTGTTTTGGATCCTGTACTCTAATAAATCATAAGTTTCTTTTTAAATTTTTTCCGAAAGTTTTCTCCACTGTAAAAAAAAAAAAAAAAAAAAACCATGTTAAAACAAAAGTAGAACTTTCACAATGTTAAAATATTTGGATATATTAACGTCTTTTCTCTTCAAATGAATGCCAGGATTTTTTTGTACAATGATTAATAAACGGAACTTACCCAGAGAAACCACCCAGATGGCCTGCCAAGTTTCGTTTCAGATCAAAGCCCAGCCGTGACAAGAGTGGGATGTCTCTCACCTCTCCTCTGATGTAAACATGCAAAAACTTGCTCTACTGAATTTTCCTTGGCCTTGGTCAGAGAACAGGGTGCTTTTATACCATGAGTTCCCTGCCAGACGTTAATGTTATGAGCCTCCTGGTCATCTGAGAGTGTATGGTTGTAGTGCGAAGACCATTGAGGTGTATGTTATAGAACAACTGCACATGCTTTGGGAAGACCAGATTTTCAGTGGGTTTTAACATCGATTTAATATCCTACAGACAGCGCGACCAAAACGTCCCACAGAGCTCTGGTCCTGAGAGGTGTTACTAGACCCCGTGTGAGAATAAAGATGGTGGTCAGATACACTTGGGAGATGCTGGGCTACACACAGTCAAACCATTTCCTGTACTGCAACGTTTCTCAAACCGTTTAATATGGTACTGTGCATTGTGACTTTCCAAGATGAGTAGTGTGCCATGTTTCCTGACTTACTAAGACCCCAGAACTCTTTCCCTCCACAACACACACCACCTGGGGCGGGGGCGGGGGATGGGGCACTGTTCTCAGACGTACTTTTCGGAAACGCTGTCTGAGTGAAGCATCAGTTATGTCCAAAACTAGCTTACCTTATAATCAGACCGGTTTTACCAAGAGTCCCATTTGAAAACACCGTCCATCTAACCAGACTTCAAAAGACTGGTTTTATGTTGTATTGCCTGAGCCTTGTAGTAGATCTTCATTATACATACATTTAAACAACTTACCTGTTTTATTGAGAAAAGCAGCATTAAAGACTTGCTAAATGAGTTTTACATTTTATAGTATCTACTTAAAACCTTCTAGTTTGAAAGTGTTTCTGTCTTAACATATTAAATCAAATCGAGTCACGCTTCCATGTCTCCAGGCGTTCTGCTGCCTTCCCAGGTCCCTTTGCTATAAAGGGAAATACTTCTTTTCCTTAGTCCATATTCCAAGTAAGTGAAATGGGACTACCAGCAACTTTTAAAAGTATTGTGTGGACATAATAGTCAAGCTATAGTTCTTCATGCTTGTTTATTTTGTTTTTTGGTGGGAAGAAGAAAACATCCATCTAGACAAAATGCAGAATTTTGGCTCTATGACAACTTATTTTTGGAGACATGAATAGCTAATATGTATTGAGTGCTTACTCTGAGCCAGGCATTGGCCTAAATGGTTTACCATACAGCAGCCCCATAAGGCAGGGGCTTATAGTAAATAGTGTAGGCTTTGCAGGCCCACAATATGGTCTGTCACATATTCTTTGCTTTTAAAAATTGGAAAAACGTTCTTAGCTCAAGGGCTGTAACAAAACAGGCTGTAGGCTGGATTTGGCCCGTGAGCTGTAGTTTGTTGACCCTGCTAAAGTGTAGGCCTACTTATCATCCCGTTGTATAGATGGGGAAATGAAGGCCCTACTGCTTGTAAGTGGGATTTGGTAGTCTGACTACCAAGCTCTAACTTTTAGCAGTAGCACTACTGACAACTTAAGCAACCACCTCTTCATGATTTTATCCTCTGCCTTGCAGCAACTTTAACTTTTAGTGTCTCAGTTTTCAAAGTTGAGGATCTTGAGGGTAAAGGGCATTCCTTCAGTGAATGAAATTATGTGCAATTATAGGATAAATGTATTTTGACCATTTAGCATTGATTGTGTTAGGGTAATGCTAGTTCTGTAATAAATAGACCCAAAAATATACTATGGCTCCAACACAATAGAACTTTCTTGTTTGTAGAGCACTGGGCAGCGGAGCGGGTTGGTTGGTGGGGCAGCTCTCTGCTGCATCACTTGGAGACGCAGGCTAACCGAGGCACTGCTCTCTCCACCGTGTGACTTCCAAGAGTACCCTGGGGCCTTCTTCCCTTCCACCCACCCTGAACGACTGGAGGGGCACTTCTGGGAGGTTTCTATGGGTCAGGTCTGTAAGTGGCACTCAAGCCACAAGGGAGACTGGGAAACATAGTCATGTCCCAGTGAAGAGGAGGAAACAAAGTTTGGTTAGTGCCTGTGGCCCATTGTCAAGGTCCACTGTGGGCGTGTTCTTCCCACCCAAGGACTCGCCCACCCCTTCTTGAGGGACCCAGGCTGTATTGAGCCTTAATCTGCTATTAGTTAAAGAGCCAAATCTCTTTGTTTAACTGAGAAATGTTCGACTGGCCAGAGCCCTGGTGGTGCCATGGTTAAGAGCTTGGCTGCTAACCAAAAGGTTGGTGGTTCAAATCCACCAACCTCTCCTTGGAAATCCTATGAGACAGTTTTCTGTCCTATAGGGTTGCTATGCGTGAAATTCGATTCAGTGGCATAGGGTTTGGTTTGGTTTCTCTTAAAATGACAGTTTTTCAAAGTTCGTTAAGAAAATGTTCTGCATCCTACTTTGGTGAGTGGCGTCTGGGGTCTTAAAAGCTAGCAAGCGGCCATCTAAGATGCATCAATTGGTCCCAACCCACCTGGAGCAAAGGAGAATGAAGAACACCAAAGACACAAGGAAAATATTAGCCCAAGAGACAGAAAGGGCCACATAAACCAGAGACTTCATCAGCCTGAGACCAGAAGAACTAGATGGTGCCCAGCTACCACCAGTGGCCACCCTGACAGGGAACACAGCAGAGAGTTCGGATGGAGCAGGAGAAGGGTGTAGTGCAGAACTCAAATTCTAGTAAGAAGACCAGACTTAATGGTCTGACTGAGACTGGAGGAACCCTGGATTCTCTGTCAGCACAGAACTAAAACAATTTCTGAGGCCAGTTCTTCAGACAGGGATTGGGCTGGACTGTGGGACATAAAGTGATACTTGTGAGGAGTGTGCCTCTTAGCTCAAGCAGGTACAGGAGACTAAATGGGCAGCTTCTGTCTGGAGGTAGGATGGGAAGGCAGAGAGGCTTAGGAGCTGGTTGAATGGACATGAGTCGGGTGGAAAGCAGGAGTGTGCTGTCACAGTATGGGGAGAGCAATTAGGGTCACATAACAATGTATGTATAAATTTTTGTATGGGAGACCAGGAACGTAAACTTCATTTAAACTACAGCGATAAATAAACTCGTGTAATACCCCCCCTCCAAAAAAAAAACCTGACAGTTCTTACTGGAAGTTTTCATATTTGAATCGCTGAATTTGAGGGAAATTGGAGAGCACTTTAATGAGAGTTGATTGTTTTTCCTAGCTCCCAAGACACTAATCTCAAGGTCTTAGAATGGGTAGCAGGCTTCCGACAATTATTCTCCTGTGTGTCCGTGACTGTGAGTAGGGCTTTACACACGGTAGCTCGTACCATCCTCCACCCAGAGTTTCTCCACCTCGTGGTCAGTTCTAGGACCCTTACCCAGCCCCACCCCAGTGAAATTTAATACCACAGATAAACAGCATGTTATTGTTGGATACCCTTGAGTTGATTTCGACTTACAGCGACCCCGTGTTGACAGAGTAGAACTGCTCCATAGGGTTTCCAAGGCTGATATTACAGGAGCAGATCACCAGGTCTTTTCTCCTGCAGAGCCGCTGGATAGGTTCATACCACCGACCTTTCCTTTAGCAGCCGAGCGCTTAACCGTTGTGCCGCCAAGGCTCCTTATCTGCTCATATGTTGTTGTATGCTGTGGAGTCTATTCAGACTCATAGCCACCCTATAGGACAGAGTAGAACTGCCCCATAGGGTTTCCTAGGCTGTAATCTTTATGGGAGCAGATCACCAGAAGCACTTAACCACTGCGCCACCAGGGCCTCCTTATCTGCTTGTATATTGTATGCGTAGCTATGCTTTATGCATTAAGAGAGACCCCCAAGAACCAGTTTTTCCCCCTTGGAGGTGGTATCGCCTCATTGAGAATGCAAACTCTTGGTATTGGTAAGAGCTGCTGTCTCTCCCTTTTCACCCGTTGGCCACTGGCATCATTATCTTTTTTTTTTTTTTTTTTTTTTTAATATTTTATTGTACTTCAGGTGAAGGCTTACAGAACAGATAGTTTCTCATGTAACAGTAACACACATGCTATTTTATGACATTGGTTAACAACCCCACAACATTTTAACCCTCTAAGTACTCAACTTTTTTTTTTTTTTTTTGGTGAAAATACACATAGCCAAAGATACGCCATTTCAAAAATTTTTTTACATACACATTTAAGTGACATTGACTGCGCTCTTCTAATTATGCTGTTATACTCACTTAAGATGAAGGCTTACAGGACAAAATAGTCTCCCATTTGACAGTTACTACAAATGTTGCCCTATGACAATGGTTAACAATCTCACAACACATCAACAATATCCTTACTCTATTTTGTGTTCCCTATCATCAGCTTCCTACTCCCCTTCTGCCTTCTGGGCCTTGTCACTGGACTCCTGTACCTCGTTACGCTCATGGTTTTACTGGGCTGTCCACTCGCAGGCTAATCAGTGAACCTCGAAGGTAACTTTACCACTGAGCTAAAAGGGTGTCTGGGGGCCATACTCTCGGGGTTTCTCCAGTCTCCTTTAGGCCAGTAAATCTGGTCTTTCTTTTTTTTTTTTTGTGAGTTAGAATTATGCTCTACATCCTTCTCCAGCTCTGTCCAGAACCCTCTGTTGTGATCCTGGTCAGAGCAGTCTGGCATCATTATCTTTAAAGGTCTTTTATTGTGCCCACCTTTGTGCCCGGAGCTGTGGTTAGTACAGAGGTACGTTTCTGTCACCTGCCAGTGTTAACATACACATTATAAAGACCTTTTTTGTTACGTATCACATAATCCTTTTTGCTTAGTGTACTGATTTGACCCCAAGATCCCTTGGAATCTTATCTTTTAAAAAAATCCCCTGAGACACTGAACTTCTGTTAATGGTAAA